GTATATATACGGAAGAAGTTTACAATTAGAAAGGATACTCCCGCAATAACGTGAATACCATGCTAACCCGTAAGTGTATAAAATACCGTACCATAAATACTGTCCGCTATCGAATAGGAACTGTATACGTATTCCGTGTATTGCAAATATACGAAGAACAAACCCTATATAATGGTGATAAGCTAGTTAAAAAGAGCCGTAGCTTTATCCCCTTTTATCTACGCATGGTGGCTCAAAGTAACGGTAAGCCCCGAAGCAAGTAGTAGAGAAGTTCCAACCAATGGTAGAGACCAAGGATTTAGGTTTTCAATACTCACCGGAGGCCAGACGGAACCTAGCTCCACATTGGGGGCCTAACTAGAATGCAGGTAAGCCCAAATAAAAGATACAAACAACATAATTTCCGACGCCAGGAACAGCAAGAAACCCATCATGAGCCCATTTTGAACTGTAACAGTGTGGAAACCTCCTTTACCTTCGCGGATTACATCACGCCACCAAAGGAAAGCTACCTATAGTATACCCGGGATAACGGACGATGCGTACGACACAGGGTAATGAGTAAGCCAAGAGGCCATAACCATACCAAACGAGAAGATCGACAAAGACATAATAAAAGGCCATGGAGATACATCCACGAGATGGTATGGGTGCATTTGACGAGAAGACATAACAATTATAACGAACTACCAACGGCGGCCATTGGGCCCTTCCAATAAAGTATACGTTTCTATGGTCCTGCCTACTAAATCATAAATAGGCTCAACCTGTGTTTTAACTTAATTTGCTAATAAGAGGATATTCTCTTCAACTCTTTACATTGTGGAACACCTTAGGTGTTCTAACTCTTATCTAATTGGTTTACGACATTTCCCTAAAGGTCTTGAAACATCATAGATGTTTCTCCTTTAGAACATCCTAGATGTTTGGTTGTTTATTACCTTTGGATTATCAAACCTCTCTGATGTTTCCACAATAGGTTATAATCACATTAGCAAATCCTTATAACCTTCTCCTTTAATTAACTAGCTATCCCAACTCTTTTTCTTAAACCATTTCAAGACCTTCCTCTATGTTATATAATGTGCATCTTATTACTCGTTTTATAAATCATTCCTCCTTTCATATTCTAAAACATCATAGATGTTTCTAATTCATAACAAACTATTAGGGGTTGTTGGTATGCTAGGTTCTCTGCTAATTCTATTAGCTATGCCTCTTATATACATCTCGATTACGAGGTAGCCGATCCCTACCACTAATGCGATTAGCATTCTGGGCCTTCGTAACTGACTTCTTCCTATTAATGTTCATCGTATCAGAACACACCGAAGAACCATTCATTACAGTTAGTGCATTAACAACAATCTTCTACTTCGGTTGATTCGTTGTTGTAGGACCTGTTATTGGTGTAGTAGAAAACACACAGATGGACATTGCTACAGCTTCAGAAGCAGTTACAGCAGAAAACAAAGTAACTAAAGAACAAGTAGTTGCTTAATCCACAAACATCTCTGATGTTTTCAACTAGTTGACTTATCAGTTATTGCCCACTTGTCTAACATATGAGTTCCTAAAAGAATAGACCTGCTTAAGGTGTTATACCTCCTACACCTCTTTCCTAGGAAAAGAGGTGGTAAAGTTTATAGTGAGCGAAGTGGTGTAAAGGTCACAGAACACCCAAGGTGTTCCTACAGGTTCAATTCTTTGCTTTGCGTATATCCTTACTGTTTCTCTATCCCAATCTTTGGGTAGGCGTTTGAAATAGCCGCGCTAGTATAACCTACAGATGTCTCTATGTTGCTGCATCATGAAAAAAACATCCTAGATGTTTGATGTTTTATAGAATTTCACCCCTCCTGAGTTTAACTTATTATCGAGGGTAAAGGCTTTAGCGCTAGACCGGTTACACATGACATCCCATCTAAGGCAGAACCTATGTAAATTACATAGTCAGGGCACATGTATGATACCTTATCATTCCTTGCAAATAGTCTGCTAAACCAATGAGATACCGGTTTCAAGTAAGACAGAAGTGTTGAGTTGTACTCCTCAATAGTGTAGGATGGCCCAGTGACTGGGTTAACGTCATACACGTTCTGGGTTAAATTAAGGGTTAGACTATCCCAGAACACCTTGGGTGTTCTCACGTATCAGGTGAAGGGTTATTCCGCTCCATAAGTGCGCACGTATAATTAATTTAGGCTCGAAACAGCGTGGCTTGGAACAAACACATTAACAAGACCTAGAGATTCCCGAGAATATTAAGAAATTAAGCCTAATTGTGGTTGTAGTTATTTGGCATCTTATCCTCAAGCTTTATCAGCCCTTCGGATTGTGATAAAAACATCATAAAAACTAACAAAATTCTAAAACATCAAACATCTATGATGTTTCCTGGGTGTAAGGTTATCAGATATTCCTTCCTATAGACAAGTAAGAATTAAAAGTTAGCCTTAATACGGACCTCTTACCATTAATAGAGTAGATAGAGACTTAGGAATACTAAGCATTCTTATATATTCTTGACACAATGGGAAGTATAAGAGAAATACAGCCCAGACCAACAGATAAGATATGATTAGAACCAACAACATGCTTCGCATGGAACTCATTAGCAATGAGCCTACCTTTTACTGTAAGCGACTTATCCTGCACATTTTAATTACTTGCATACGACTTTATTGTCCCCCTACCATGGTTGACTCGCCCTAGCTTTACTGCGGAGCTAAACACCTACCCTTCCTCTTTAGATTATTAAAACATCAGAGATGTTTGTGAATCTAGCCAAAAGGTAAGGCAGGAGACTTTGAATCTCCCATGTCCAGGTTCGAGTCCTGGGATCACTACACAGTGTTAACTCCTAAAACCCTCAATCCCCATACTAGATATTTTTGTTAATGATTCAGTCACAGATAAGACCCTATTCTACATTATGACAAACTAACAAACTTCTAATGGACACCACATTATACATTCACACTAGATAGTCAATAGTAAACAATATAGAGGTTAGATAGCTCAACGGCAGAGCGTCCCTTTGTGGTATGGTCTACAAACACTAAGTAGGACCATAAGACCAGATTCACCCATAACAGGTCGTGATGCGACACCGGGACCTAGAGAGAACAGGTAGAAGAGTTAGTGTACCAACAAGTAGAATGAGTGTGGGGG